CACAGACAGATTGAAATCCATTAGCTGGAAAATCGCTGTGTAGGGTGCAGCTGGGTGTGGCATTGTTGCGCACGTCACATCGCGGTCTGGATCGGCCAGTCCTTCGGTCACGAGTTTGGTGAGAAGGTCTGGGGTCTGACGCCGCGATCAGGACATATTGGTGGCAGCGGTCGTGGGATTGTCGCATGTTGGTGGCGACAATCTTGCGATCCGTGACATGCACCACCGTGATATCAAATTGGAGGCTTACCAGATCCTTTGACCCCTTAATTGTAGGGGGTCAATACACGCCTGATATATATAATTCCGTCCAGACTCAGACTTAGGGATAAAAAAAAAAAAAGCCAGTAATTATATTTAAAAACCAGCATTGTTTTGAAATGCAATTACTAGCTTTTTTTTTTCTTCACTATAGCTCCGAGAAGGAGCTGTCATTCTCTCCTCTGCTAAGGGAAACCCAGTGACATTACCCAGTGACTCCCGCCCCTTAGTTTCCTTTAGTGGAGGAGAGAATGACAGCTCATTCTTGGAACTATAGTGAAGGGGAAAAAAAAGCCGGTAATTACATTTAAAAAATAGCAGTGACATAGGGGCAACCAGTGAGGTAGTCTGAGTGTATACACTGCTCCCCCACTATATTCACTGCTCCTCTCCTGTCCCCTCCTTGCACACACTGCCCCCCCCCCCCCCCACCCCTTCCCCCCTATGTGATAGCAATAGAATCAAAAGTTAAAAAAAAATAAAAATACACATTAAAGTAAAAAAAAAACTAATAATTTGAGCCTCCCCACCTCCACAAAACGCAGACATTTCGTTTTCTGCCATGTTCATTCTGAATTTTCGGTATTGGTTTCAGCACCATAATTTTTATTTTGGTGCACCACTAACTCTCATACAGTAGGTGTGTTACTGGTCAGATTACCAGGTGACAAAAGAGAGAAAAGACTTAAAAAAAGAAGCTAATGCAGCCACCACATCTAATGATTGGTAAGCTGCAATATATTACATTGCTTGTTTTGAGTTTAATACCGCTTTAAAACAGATCTTCTCTCCACCTTTCCACCTAATAAACCCAACTACCTTAAAATATTCTACTAACTAGAATTAACAAAATTAGTTATACTGTCTCCTTCTCCCACAGATTGAGTCTTAGCATTTATATCTCCCACCAGTCACAAGCTCACGCCACAAAAAAAAAAAAAAAAAAAAAAAAAGGTCCTGTACGTCACATGCACAAGATGAGGAACATGACGCCACGCTAGGCCAGCAGAGAAGGAAGATGTTGGCTGTTGGCAACGTCATGCCCCTTATCTAATACATGCACCACACCACATTAATATTGATGAGGGTTAAAAAAAGACTTTCACCTAACATCTCGGAGAAGGTCTATTATTGCTCTTAAACAGCAGTTTGAAATAGCGTACAAGAGGAATGGCTACATCATCTTCCGGGAAACCAGGAAGGACACAAAAAAAGTATAAGGAAAAAAAAAATGTTTTAACCATTTGAAGATTGGCATGTTAAAACCCTCTTCCAGTCCAGGCCATTTTTCAGTATGGCTATACTTTGACAATTTCTCAATCACGCAACACTGTAATCAAATTAATTTCACTCCAAAACACATTCCACTACTCAGGAGTATGGGGATGCAACATGTGTGAGACTTTTTCAATGTTTGGATTGATTATGTCCTGGACATTTCATCTTGTATATCACAAAGATCAACGAATTGTATCAAAAACAGTGTACTGTCATGGTGGACCTCTGTATGAGTGGTCGAGTAATATAGCTTAGTGTTGGATCACCCGTAGCAGTCCCTGTTTCTATAAGCCAAGCAAACCTAGCCTACTGGTATGTGGCTGTCACCAGGAATGCCATGTTTATTCGCCAGGAAGTACAGGAGGCTGCTGAATGGAAGAACAAAAAAGAGTTGCTGTGGTTCCAGGATGCAGTTGGCCACAGGGGATGGCCAGGAGTGATGTTTCACAGGGAAATAATCAGTAGGACACGAGTTGGTTCAGGCAGCAGGCAGAGACATTGTTAGCAACCAGGCAAAGGATCAGTCTAGGCAGGAGGCAGAAACGTGGTCAATAAACAGACCAGGGTTAATACAGGCAGCAGGCATAGGCAACACTGCAGTGGTGTGGAAGCGATCAGGGACACTTTTGATGGTTGCAGTGGCTCAGGTGACACTGGCACTGGTGGGGCTAGCATTCAGGAACATTGCTGCTGGCTGCACAGGTCTGGTGACATTGTATGGCAGCAATCAGGAACACTGTTTATGGGATGCACTGGTCTGGTGACACAGACTGTTGTGGTGGTGATCAAGAACACTATTGATGGTGACACTGGGACTTGTGTGGCAGCAATCAGGAACACTATTGCTTGCATATGTCAGTCTTGTTGCACTGCAACTGGTGTGGTGGTGATCTGGAACCCTATTGATGGCTTACATTGGTCATTTGTCACTGGAACTGGTGAGGCAGTGATCAGGAGCACAGTTGCTGGCTGCACTGGTCTGGTGTGGCAGTGAACGGAAACACTGCCGCCGGCTACACTGGTCTGGTGAGGTGGTGATGGGGACACTGACTGGCTGCACTAGAAACTGTGATATCAGAGCAACCAGCCATTGTATATAATCATTAGCCACAGTAGTACAATGTCATCATAGTAACACTGCTAGTAGCACTGCTCTGGTAGCAGTGTGTTTAAAAAAAAAAAAAAAAAAGAAGATCACAGTTATCAGAGAAGTGCATTGTATGGTGACATTGTACTGCTATGGCTAGTGATCAGAGACACTGGCTGCTGCACTAACATACAATGCCAACGGTGCAGCCAGCCAGTGTCTCTGATCAGTAGATACAGCAGTGCCACCATTATGACACAGCACTGCTCAGGGAATTGTTGATTCTTTTCTTCCCACACTTCAAGTGTTTACTACAGTCCTCATCACTGTAGTAAAACTGTGTTTCCGCTCACAGCAGATCGCTGTGAGAGGAAATGGTTCACAGGCTGCATCATGCAGCCTTTGTTTACAAATGTATCTTCTGTGATTGGTGCTCCCTGTGACCTGTCAATAAAATTGGCCCAGTACCCCAATCCGTGATCTGCTCTGTTCAAAGGTACACAGCGATCAGAGCGTACACCACTACATATACATGCGCGCACACACACACAGGAAGCCACTGTCTGAAAGTTTTTCTACAATGGCCACACAGGAAGTGGTTAAAAAAGCAAATGTCATACTATTTCTCATCGGCATCCAGAGCTGCATGCCAATGTGAATATTATTGAAAAAGGGGGGGAGGTGTGATTTAACCATAAGATATATGCAGCTGCCTTTGTGTGATTGGACACTGGCAAAAAATGAAAACTCCAGAGCCATCCCCTATAAAACCTCTTCCAGTTACGGCAAGCTTCAGTTTTGTAGCAAGCAACAGTGAGATTACAAAGAACTGAAGGAGAGACCGGGTCCCACTTCCTCCACTTGCAGGGGGTGGCAATGAGGCCAGCTGGCGCCCCATCTTATGCTAGAGGGGCTGGAAGAATCATTGTTTTCCTGTCAGGGGGCGTCTGTCTATCTGTGCCCTGTGACTGTGTGGCTCAGGTATACTGACATTTTTTTCTTGTGGTTGGGCACCACTGAAATATTGACATTTTTTAACTCTAATTTGAATAACTTATCTTTCTATATGGCATTCATTGAACACCATATTCTCTTCCTTGATTTAAAGTGAAATGAAACCGTCCTATCCTTTAGAGCCAAGGAAGCTGCCATCTTAGCATCTTGATTTGCCATAGTGCTGCACATGTGATCAGTTATAACACCAGCCATTCGGTGCCTAAACAGTTCGGTTGAGTGCACAAACCACTGTGATAGTTATCAATTATGGCGTGCCTTAAAATGTAACAGTTTTGAGAAACAGTTAAATTGATGGGTTTAGTCCAGCTTTAATGGTTTTCAAAGATAACATGATGGCAGTTCTTTATACAGAAAGACGAACACAGGCAATACAACACTGCATGCAGGGAATTTTCACCCCAAAAACAGATTCAAAGTATACAGACAGAATAATATCTTATTATTATTACTATACAGGATTTATTTAGCGCCAACAGTTTGCTCAGCGCTTTACAATATAATGGGAGACATTACAGTAACAATACAAGAGGGATTTGAGGGCCCTGCTCTTTGGAGCTTACAATCTAGGAGAGGATAAAGCGTAACTTTACAAGAACTGAAGACACTGAAACAGAAGCTAAAACTACAGGTACAGTTGTGTTCAAAATAATAGCAGTGTGTTGAAAAGTGAATAAAGCTCAAAATCCTTCTAATAGCTTTTATTTCCATACACACAAATGCATTGGGAACACTACACATTCTATTCCAAATCAAAACATGAAGAAAAATATATCAAATTTGTGTTATTCCTTTTAAAAAATTGAAGAAAAGTGAATATTAGACTGTTCAAAAAAATAGCAGTGTTTGTATTCTTCTTTACAAACATTCACTATATAAACTGAAAAATGTTTGAAGATTTTGCTTTCCTTTGAATCACTTAATATTTAGTTGTATAAGCACTGTTTCTGAGAACTGCTGTACATCTGTGTTGCATGGACTCAACCAACTTCTGGCACCTGTGAACAGGTATTCCAGCCCAGGATGATTAGACTACATTCCACAGTTTCTTCTCAATTTCTTGGTTTTGCCTCAGAAACTGCATTTTTGATGTCACCACACAAGTTTTCTATTGGATTAAGATTCGGGGATTGGGCTGGCCACTCCATAACATCAATCTTATTGGTTTGGAACCAAGATGTTGCACGTTTACTGGTGTTTTTGGGGTCGTTGTCTTGTTGGAACACCCATTTCAAGGGCATTTCCTCTTCAGCATAAGGCAGCATGACCTCTTCAAGTATAATGATGTATTCAAGCTGATCCATGATCCCTGGTATGTGATAAATAGGCCCAACACCGTAGTATGAGAAACATCCCCATATCATGATGCTTGTGCAACCATGCTTCACTGTCTTCACAGTGTACTGTGGCTTGAATTCAGTGTTTGGGGGTCGTCTGACAAACTGTCTCCGGCCACTAGACCCAAAAAGAACAATCTTACTTTCATCAGTCCACAAAATGTTGCGCCATTTCTCTTTAGGCCAGTCAATGTGCTCTTTGGCAAATTGTAACCTCTTCAGCACGTCATAATTTTTTTTTTTCAACAGTGGGACTTTGCGGGGGCTTCTTGCAGATAGCTTGGCTTCACATAGGCGTCTTCTAATTGTAACAGTACTCACAGGTAACTTTAGACCTTCTTTGATCTTCCTGGAGCTGATTGTTGGCTGAGTCCTTGCCATTTTGGCTATTTTTTCTATCCATTTGAATGGTAGTTTTTTGCTTTCTTCCACATCTTTCAGGTTTTGGTTGCCATTTTAAAGCATTTGCGATCATTTTAGCTGAGCAGCCTATCATTTTCTGCACTTCTTTATATGTTTTTCCCCTCTCCAATCAACTTTTTAATCAAGGTATGCTGTTTTTCTGAACAATGTCTAGAATGACCCATTTTCCTCAGAATTTCAGAGAGAAATGCACTGTAACCAGCATGTACAACATTTGCTGCCTTCCTTCCTTAAATAAGGGCAATATTTGCCACCTGTTTTTAAAGAATGAATGACCTCACTAATAGAACTCCACACTGCTATTATTTTGAACATGCCCCTTTCAATTAGTGATTCAATTACACAGAATCAGCAACATGCATGTCATGGCTGTTGGATTTCTATTACTCTACTACACCTGCTAGTAAATTATTTGCCATATAGAAATATAATTTCTACCAAAAACAGTGATTGCTTAGGTTAGTGATGTCTGACTGCTATTATTTTGAAACACAACTGTACGTGTTCTGCAAATCTAGCCAAAGAAAATCTCTACATTAAAGTGATATTCCACATAAGATGGAGAAGACCCAAATTATTACGCAATTTAGCACACAGAAAAAAAAAAAAACAGTTTAAAGCAGTACTAAACATTGGCATATCTTGACAAATGACCAAGTAGTGTGGAAAAGTATTGATGAATTCTCTAATATCTTTAAAAGGGTTATTTATAAGGAATAATTAGGAATAAATTAGTTCCTAGTCTACATTTCATGTCAACATCTCCTTCATAGAGCTTTTAAATGTGGTTTATGTACAGTAGATATGGTCAGTTTATTTGTTATAAAAGAAAACTAGAAGTTGCATAATGGTGAGGATTAAAAACCAAATCTATTGGTCTATTAGCTTATGTGCAAATGTAAAGCATTTTATGTGGGTAAGACCAAATGTGACCATACTATGATATTTCCAGTGGTGTTCTTAGTACACCTATTGGAAGACGTTTTGCAAAACATCATAGAGTATAAAATAGAGGGTTTACACAGTATCAGCTTACCAGGAGTGGAGATCTTGATAACAGGGTGCTAAGAGAGACCAGATGGGTATTCAGACTGGAGGCTACTTAAAATTGAGGTCTGAATAAGCAAATGGGTTTTGCACCAAACTGTAATGTAATGTAAAACATGCTGTTTTTGCTGTACTTGGACTATAATACAACAGGCAACAATAGAAAAGAGCTTAGTGCCCCAGAAAGAGTATCTGAGATAAATAAAGTTAGTGGTAATAAATAACTATGTTAAATGACTTAAAGAGTATGTAAACCCAATGTTTCATATTCCTGATATGTGCTTGCTGTACCATGTACTTGTACAGTATGACAAAGTATCATATTCCCTATGTATTGCTTCCTTTGAATGAAATCCCTGGTGTTCCTGCCAGTCCCTCTGCTTTGTTATAAAAAAAACTGACCACACCAGGCATGAGAGCACACTGTGGTCAGTTCTCTAGCTGTGCTGGGATCTCAGCATGTTCTCCTCTAATGATCAGACTTCTGCTGACACCCCCCCCCCCCCCCCCCCCCCCAGCACAGCCATTCACTCGGAGGATCAGTGTGGTGCTGTTTCTACTCCCCTAGCTCTTATGAAGCTGAGAGTAGAGGAAACATGATAACCTTTAAAAAGGAAAAATATATTTTTATTTTATTATGTTTTTTATGTCAATACATGTTTTATTAGTTAGTCACTTCAAAAAGACACAAGTCCACAGAATATAGGGAGAGGGAGAGGAGAGAGTTAGGGAGTCAGAGAGGGAGAGAGAGAGGGAGAGAGAGAAAAGAGGGGGGGGGGAGAGAGAGGGGAGAGAGAGAGAGGGGGAGACAAGGGGGGAGAGAGAGGTCCATCTAGAGAAGGGGGGGAGAGAGAGGGGAGAGAGAGGGAGAGAGAGAGAGGGAGAGAGAGAGGGGAGAGAGAGAGAGGGAGAGAGAGAGGAGGAGAGAGAGGGAGAGGGAGGGAGAGGGAGGGAGAGGGAGGGAGAGGAGAGAGGAGAGAGAGAGAGGGAGGGAGAGAGAGAGAGGGAGAGGGAGAGAGAGAGAGAGAGGGAGAGGAGAGAGGGAGAGAGAAAGGATGCAAATGGATTTTCCCTGGATCAACTACGGTTTTATTACCTATAAATGTTAGTATCCAGTTATATTTTGTGCATGATGTATTGCCTATTATAGGATAATATCTGAATATTCGCTATGCATTATTATTAAGGTTTTGATGTAGTAAAGCCCCCGTTTGATCATGTTCATACTGACATTAGGTTATCCTGTGTGGAAACACTCTTGTGAGTAGGTATTCCTCCCTGTGGGGTGGGGGTAGTATGTGACCGATATCTGGGCAATTGTCACATTAGATTGGATTCGGCCAACCCATTATAGCAACCCATTTGGTACCATGCTATACAGAGTCAGGAAAATACACTGCGTTAGCTATATGCGTTTGGGGTGTTGTTAACTTTACACCTGCTGCAGATAGAAGACAGCGCAATTTGAGAACGGTGCAAGAAATGCGCACATAAAAACACAGGTTTCCCGTACCGCGTTCTAGTGTGAACTGGCACTAAGAGCAGTGTGAAGATCTGCCAATCCTATGGAGACTAAAATTCTCAAATGTGGCTTCAAGACACAACACTTGAATCCCACTGTCTGAAAAAACCTGACATCACTTGTAGGACTTTCAGGATGGCCTTAACCTGCCAATCTAAATGACTTCAGGTCTAGGTAACGAACAGATAGGGTACACTTCCACATTGACCTCAACTGAACAAAAGCTGTAAGAAGGAACAGAAACTGATGCCTCACAAACAAAATGATAATGAATGAACAGTATGTGTATGATCCAGGGAAAGTTGATTGGGTGAGACCGGAACACCCAAGGCCCTCATACAAAGGAGGAACAAAGGCTGCTGTGAACAGGGCACCATAGGATGTCCTAAATGGCCTGCAAGTAACTCAGCAACAATAAAAGGAGACTCACAGACCAACCGCAGAGCACAGGAATTAATGGCCCAAAGTGACTAGGTTAAATAGTACCAGAGCAGGAGTGGGTAAATGGCTGTTTGTTACTATGTCACTTTAGGCTGCTACACAAAAAGGAGTTAAAAGCCATATGTGACTGAAGCACCCTAGGTTGTCTTAAACAAATAGTATGTAAGTGCAACTGTACCCATAATGGGCACTCATGGACCAACTACAAGAGCCATTGTGCATAGGTCACCATAGACCACCATGCAGGTGCAAGTGGGATTTTACCAGCAAGCGCTACTCACAGATCAGCTGGGGGCAACGTTAAAAGCCATATGTGGAAAATAAGTTTCTATGCAGACAGTACACTTGTGAGACAGAACCACAGGGTCACTCAGAGACCCACTGCAGAGCAGCAGGGGATGACAGTTGTGCGTGACTAGGTCAAAGTAAGCCACTGCAAAAAGGGTAAACCAGTGAGACATTACCAACAAGGCTTATGAACTGACCTAATAATATAGTAGAAATTAATGGCTATGCATGAATAGGTTACTGCAGCCCGCAGTACAAACAGTACACAATGAGAATTTACCAACAAAGTGCACACATGGACCTGCTGCGGATACCACTGCTGTACCAATAGTAACCCATGAGACATTCCCAATAGGAAAGTTTACAAACCCCCTGCAGAGCAGGAAGGGTTACTAGCCATGCTTGACCACTATGGAAGCTAGACAGTACCAGCAAGTGTACTCACTTACTGAATGCAGTGCAAGAGCAGCCAAAAACTGTCCACATCCATGAACACCACAAGTCGTCATGTGAACAGTATGTAAGTCAATATACTCAGAGCAAGTAAGGTTGAAGGCTGGATGTTACTAGTACACCCTAGGCTGTCATACAAGCAACAGTAGGTGCACGAATCAGCAACTGTGAGGGTTACTCATAGACTGACTGCAGGACAAAAATGATTAATGTCCTTCAGGATTGGGTCACCAAAGGCCACCATACAACAAGTGAAACAGTCCCAGCAAGGGTTACTCATGGACTGACTGCAGAACAGAGGGGATTAAGGGCAGTTTGTTACTAGGGCACCATACAACAGTATGTAAGTGAGTGGAAACCAGCAAGGGTTATTCACAGGCCAACTGCAGTGCAGGAAGAGTTAATGCCATATGCGACAATGTCACCATAGGTCACTATACAAACAGTATACAGTGAAGAAAATAAGTATTTGATCCCCTGCTGATTTTGAATGTTTACCCACTCACAAAGAAATGATCAGTCTAAAAATCGAATGGTAGGTGTATTGTAACACTGAGAGACAGAATAGCAACACAAAATTACAAGAAATGCATGTCTAACAAATTATGCACTGATTTGCATGTTCATGAGGGAAATAAGTATTTGATCCCCTATCATTCAGCGGGATTTCTGCCTACCAGGTGTCTTTCATACAGGTAACCAGCTAAGATTAGAAGCAGTCTTTTAAAGGGAGTGCTGGTAATCTCATTTTGTTACCTGTATAAAAGACACCTGTCCACAGGAGCAATCAAACAATCAGATTCCAAACTCTCCACCATGGCAAAGACCAAAAAAGCTGTCCAAGGATGTCAGGGACAAGATTGTAGACCTACACAAGGCTGGACTGGGCTACCTAACAATCGCCAAGCAGCTTGGTAAGAAGGTGACAACAGTTGGTGCAATCATTCGCAAATGGAAGAAACACAAAACAACTGTCAGTCTCCCTCTGTCTGGTGCACCATGCAAGATCTCACCTTGTGGAGTGCCAATGATCATGAGAACAGTGAGGAATCATCCCAGAACTACACGTGAGGATCCGGTCAATGATCACCAGGCAGCTGCAACCACAGTCACCAACAAAACAATTGGTAACACACTACACCGACAAGGTTTGAAATCCTGCAGTGCCCGCAAGGTCCCTCTGCTCAAGAAAGCACATGTCCAGGCCCGTCTGAAGTTTGCCACTGAACATCTGAATGATGCAGAGGAGGGCTGGTTGAAAGTGTTGTGGTCAGATGAGACCAAAATCAAACTCTTTGGCATCAACTCAACTCGCTGTGTTT